CGGCGCGTGGCCGCGGCGGTCGCCCGGGCCTGTGCTAGGCAAACGGCAAGCAAAGGACTTGCAGCAGGGGTTCCTGTAAGCGTGACCTAATGCGCTTGGACTCGTGTGGAAAGACTCCTTAAAAACGTAGTTTGGAGGGGTTTTAAATTACCTTTTCGAACCGTCTGGGTTAGAGAAGGAAAGAATTACGTAAAATCAGGATGCTGGAAAGCGCTATATTAACTTATGTGTACTTAATTTGAAAAATGGCATGTTTGGACCATGTAACTGATCAAATTTCTGTGAAGAGGAGAAACATAAACATTGGCTGAGATTTTTTTTTTTTTTAATTGGGGACCAAACAAGATGTTGTCTGTGCAGAAACAAAATAAATACGTAACTGTCATAGTCCCTCATATGCTATAAAATAAACATTCTCTGGTTGACTTTGCTAAGAACACATGCCAAAAATGGTATTTTTGTCTGGCTGGAAAATGCAGAAATCCAGTTAGTGTATAATTAGCTCTATTTTGGTTGTGTTAGACTTATCTGGAGAGTGTGAGGTCAGCCACTGGTAGAAATAGTATGAATTAATTGTGGATTACTGTTGAGAAAGTGTAGCCAGTAAAAATCGGTAACTTGTAGGTACGCATAACACTTACTAATGTTTAAAAACAACTTCGTGTCCTGACAGCCTGTGAATTTAGGCTCCTTGGTATGAAAACTGTCTATGTGGCAAGACTGTGGAGTTAAATTATTGCTCCTGTTGGAGTGTGAAACTGAGAACAACAGCTCAGGCACAGTAAATACTCTCTGGTACTTGTCCCAGCTTTTCTGGCTGGTCTATATGTTGGAAAGAATTGTTTCACTTTTCTTGCTGAGGAAATTCCCAGCTCCTACTTGCTGGGAATACATAGCCCGTAATTATGCTTGGTCCTTACTGTCCTGTTGCTTCTTTGTGTTCCACACTTGCACAGAGTGAAACATAATTTACCCCATTCAATACCAAGTAGTGAAACAGAACAGTTTTCCTGTCATTGTTTTGTTAAAGATGTTATTTATTTTGAGTGTATTTTGTCTGAAATGGTCAATAACCATAAAAACGTAGGTACTTCTGCCCAGACTGACCTTTCGTTACATCCCTAACTAATCTTATTTGTTACCGGTGTTTCCCAGTGTCTGTATTACTTTCACATCTTCAGCTTACTCTTCTTTGTTGCTTTCCCAATCTCTAAATGTACTGTTTTTTAACGCTGCATAGAAAAACATTCTGTACCACATCTATATATGCGTTGCCAGTCATTGCCCTCCTCTTTGTCATTCACTCTGTACTTATGTAATTAAAGGTTTCCAATAACTAGCAATTTGGCCATCTTAGGCAACATTAGTATGTGTACAATCATTTAATAATCTAGTGCTTTTTTCCTGGGTAGGTGACTTGCAAATTACTATGCTGCTGTTATGATATTACTCCATGAAGCCCCTCCTGACATGGACCATGCTAGATCAGTAGCATTTGAAGATTCTTTCATAATCTCTTCTCAGTTGTTTTCCCTAAATATGTTAATATTATGCTGTCTCTGGTTCTGAAGGGCGTGATGATTGCAATTTTCAACCTTCAGATTTTGGTGATGGCACTGCAATTATACTCTTGATTTGAATGTACTTTGGACTTTGATTGGTTGCTAGTTTTAGCTGGAACATCTGACCAGACACTATATACTCATAGATACATTTTAATATATTTTGTCTGAGTAACAAGGAGAGAACATAACTGTTCAGGGCAGCCTTCTCTTCCTCATAAAGCGTACTGCTTTTATTTCTAAATACTGGACATTAAAAATTAATAATCTATGCAAATACATTACCTATATCAGCCTACAGTAAGTATTTTTGATTATTTGTATGTGTAAATGGTGAAAGAACTGACTTTTAAAGAAAGAATAGTAGAACTAAAAATAGATGGTATAGCTTGGCAAAAACCCACCCTAAGAAGTTGAGAAGCAGACACATAAAGGCCAACAAGCATCTGAAGGGTGGAGGTTACCACAACGAGAGTGCAGTCGTTGAACACGGCGAGCGCTCGGTTCCTGAGAGGGCGCCTGAAGGCCGAAGTGCACAGAAAACCAGCTGTGCGTGTACCCAGGATCCTAAAAGGCAGAGGAGAGCCCCTTCAGACAGGAAACGTAGACAAGACACCAGGAATCTTGGTAATGGTGAAACCTATCCCAGCCTGGTTTGTCTAGCTAACTGGTGAGAGGAGCAGTCTTCTTGTAGAAATAAGGTGTATTAAAGGATCTAAATGCTAGCTAGCCCGATAATACTTTATCTCTTTCTAAAGAAAACAGTTATTAAAAATATATATATATAGTCGGCTTGTCCCCTCCGGGGCCCCAGCGCAGAGTTGACGCGGGGGTTTTCCAGCGGTGTCCGCGCACACACACACTCCCCACACGCACCGCCCGCTCCCCTCCGGGCTGCC